TGTATATAATTTTCTATATCCATAGTGCTTTACCAGATATGTAAGCTGTCCATAGGCATTGATGCACCCCACATCCCATCAAAGAGGCTAGCTTTAGAGTTGTGCACTACTAGTAGGCTGAATGATCCCTTTCCTCTACAGTACAAAATATATGGCATTTGTGGTTTCCAAAAGTAATTTAACATTTTGATTTGTCTGAGCCCACAGTCATTTTTCACTTTGTCTCAGTCTATTATGAATGAGTATGAGCCTCCAGAAGATGGATGATGTTATGAAGAAGGTGGATGGTGTTCACATATGGCTTCTTCTTCATATGATAGGGCTATAAATAGCAATTTTGGATGGAACATAAAAAGCCCCTTCTCCACGTGTGGCTTTACTCAGCTTGCATCAACTCATCATTGGCCAAATGTGTCTCCATTACCTGTTCCCGCTTAGTTTTGGGAACTGCCTCATCCATGGTTCTAAGCAAGCCAAGTTGATCAATTGATTTTGACATCAGCAAACTGCAGCCATTGACTGGCCCACTGATTGATGTCACTCTATGAGCCAAGGCTGTACTTACAACCTCCTCCTTAAGTGCCACGTTCAATCCGGTCGTTGAGTGTTTGTGTATGTATGTTGTATTCGGGCCCAAAAAATCCAATCCGGCCTGGCCCCAGCCCGCAGTCATCATTTCCGAACCCCACTCGACCGGATGGCCCGGGGGAAAAAATACATTTTTTATTGGTTATTAACGGTCGGGGACGCGCAACTGAGTAAAAGGGGCAGAAGATCGGAGCTGAGGAGGTGTTTGTCCTTTCATGGCCATCAAAGAGCATTTAAGTCCTGTTTCTGCCTGCATTCTGCATTACTCAGACACAAACCGCTCCGACACATCTGCTTTGGGATCTCACCTGTTTGGGTCATCGGCCGCGTGCGTCCGCTGAGTACAACGGCTGAATGAACATCCATTTGGACGATGGATCAATGCCTGGCAGTACAGTCCCATCTGAAGCCTAACTGAACTTTTTATCTCTTTCGAGGACAGTCAGCTCGCGGTGAAATAGCTGCGTGCAGCTGGTGAAAGTATGGCAAGCCATGTTATCATATAATTGGATCGCGGCTGATCTGCTGACCCAATCAAAATCTTGACACTGACCTGGCCTACCCATCCAGCACATTATCATGGCCCAGCCTGCCCTGAATTCAGGTCCGATGGGTCCAAGCTTAGGGCTAGGGTTAGAAATGACAGCTCTACGTGTACGTTACTGAAATGGAGAGTTGAAAATCACAGGTTTATCTGTTGTCAAATGATGAGGGGTAAACCTTTTTATCATTTTTGTCAGATGAACACGGACAGCTTGTGCTCGAAGGAGCAAAGAGGAAAATGTACGTTTACCGAGAGGTGTCAGAGAATCTGGCCACCCACGGCTACACTTGCATTTAGTAGCAGTGCCATGACAAATTAAAAACAATGACATTTTATTACCAAAAGATAAAAGATCACAACATTCAAAGCGGGTCGAACCGAAGGGACAGGAGGTGGTTTGCTGAGATGGATGCCACCTATGGGTACTGTTCACCCAGCAATGGTCGTGACAACCAGAGCTCCCACCTGCCAACAATCGCACCCATGATCCTGCCCAATGACTGAGGGACACACTGTCAATGGAGAAACACCTACACTTGAGTAGCACTGAATAGAAACAACAAGATTAGAGTGATACTTAACAATAGAGAAGTGGCTAAACAGTGTTTAAATACAATAACGTGTTCAGGAACACATGCAGTGACATCCTGATGCATGCTCATCCATGTAGTAATCACAAGAGAATTAGAACATTTTTAATGCAGTGCTGCTTGAGGACCCCGAGATCAAAGACATCCGATATGGATTTTCATCCTCGTCCTTGTCACACTTAACATTTTTGTAAAACATTTGAATATCTTGATGATAATGAGTATTGTACATAATGGAAGGCGAGCCTGTGATAGGAATGTCACCGGTTTGACCCCCTAGACTGATGACATCAAAATGTGGGTGGGAAAAGTGAAGTACCCGCATCTGCCTCCGTCCTCTTTTGCCATACTTTGGGCCCTTGAGCAAGACCCTTAACCCCTATGGTCTGCTCCCCCATGTGCCCAAGATGGCAGCTCTCTGCTCCACATAGAGTGCTGTGGTAGCTCAGCAGTCTGTGGTTGCATCAGGAAGGACATCCAGGGTAAAAAAAAAAAAATGTCAAGTCTTTGTGCGAATTAATACTCTGTGGCTGAGAAAAGGAGCAACTGAACAATATAGATAGATAGATATTTTGTTAATTTAAAATATTTTTCAAAATGTTTCATGCAGTTTTGGAAGCAGGCTGGTATAGTTTTGTGTGCGATGTTCAGCCGTGACTAAAACATGGGATTTATGAGAATTACAAATCATTTGTTATTTTTATTTATTTATTATTTGTTCGTTCATTCATCTGTTTGATTTCACAACGTCTTAACTTTTCTATGGAACTGGGTTGTATATTCTGAGTGTAATATGATTTTAGAGTTTGTCTGTTTAGAAGAAAAAACATGTTCTGTCCTTAGATATTTCTGTTTAGCCACAACAAGGCAACCCGCAGAAACAAAATGCTAAATGTAATCACAAAGATTACATATTTATTTGAATGATCTCAAATTCTCCAATCATTTGTTTTATAGTTGTTACTTAGATTTAACCAAGTGCCACAGGGAGCTTTTTTTTCTTCTTTTAAACACATATAGTTAGAGTTTATTCAGCGTTCCGAATCATTTCAGTCTCTTTCCTCTCTGCAGTGCTGCCGTTTGTCGTTTCTCCTCCTCATCATTGTCTCCTCTGTTTACACGCCCTCACCTACTTTTGATACATCACCGTACACCCCTCAACTTCCTCTCCTTGTCAACAACACATTATTTCTGCATATACAGTATAAAATTTGCTCCACTTTTAAGCATAATGTTTTCCTGCAGGCAGGAAGTGTTGTGCAGAGTTGGACATGTTTAATGCACCTCCGTTTCCTCTTTGTCTTCACTGTTTCACACCTGGCTGCTTCAGTTTAATATCTCGTGACTCCCAATGTGGTGCAAAGCAAAAGTCATTAATTACAACCAAAGGGGAAAAATAAAAGAAAGACATATAGACTCACTTTACTGAGGAATATATATATATATGTTAGTAAAAAAAAAAAAAAAAAAAAACATCCAGAGATTCTAAACTGAGTAACAAACATCTTGCATATGTTTGTTTTCTGTGCTGCTGTAGAAACATTTAACTGTGATATTTTAATTTGTCAAGCAAAATAACAGAAATGTAGAGCAAAGAAATACATAAATAGTGATCATTTTCAACAAATGTATCTTTCCTGCCAGTAATTTTGCTCTTCTATGGTTGAATGTGATTATTTCACATATCACGTTTCTTTTTTTTTTTTATACTGTCATTCACATAATAAATATAATGTGATTGCAACTACAGTATGATTACCAGTATACAACCCACAGAACAAGATGTACAGTAAATGGACTGTACTTATATAGCACCTTTCTATCTTATCGAGATACCCAAAGCTCTTTACACTACAATCTGTGCCCTCATTTACCCGTTCACACTAGATCTTTCTATATTTCATGTTGCTGTGTTCATGCGTGCTCATCTGCTCACACAGACTCATGTTCGTGCTGCTGTTCGGCGTAGTGTTTTATGCTACTAGTGCTTAGTGTGTATTTAGTTGATGATTTTCTTGGTCATATCTTAGATCTTATTTCTGTTTTTCTTTTACATTTTATTGTTGGATGTAACTGGGACCCTGTGCACATAATTTTGTTCCACCACATGTACCACATGGGGTGCGAATGACAAAGAACCTTGAATCCTTGAATCTCTACAAATCTAATTGAAGAAATCATTCTAAAGAGACTAATCAGAGCTTTATCACATTCATGCACCGATGGGACACACATCAGAGACACAGAGGGGTTCAGTGTCTTGCCCAGGGACACTTCGGCATGTGACTGCTGGTGGATTCGAACCCCCAACTCTTGCACTGGACGACGACTGCGCTAACTACTCAGCCACAGCTGCCCTGATGTGATGTCACACACAGGATGCTGTGTTAAAAAATAAATAAATAAATAAAATAAATGCATTTGTAATGTTTAGGCTCAAATAAATAAAAAATACTGACATGAGGGCAAAACAATTAAATTTAGAGCCACTTTTGCTGGCAGTGTGACCATATTTGACTCAAGTAGAGCTCAACAATTTAATTTGGTCCGTAATGTTTACCTCGGGTGTCTTTATTACTTTTTAAGTGAGTTATTTTTATTGATTTTTTCCTTTGTGATTTTATGAAATGGTACTATATTACTCCTGGTTTTATTTCATTTTTGTTGTTCAGCATTTATGTACAACATTTGTTTGAATATGAAGCATGAGTTTAATTGACCTTTGCATTGTCTCTTCATATCTTTTATACATTCAGTGACAGTGCAGTGAACTTAAAAAAATGCAGCAATTTAATATTTTCTGTTCAAACCAGATTCACAATGTTAACTTTTTTTTTTTTTTAAGTGTGGTGTAAGTTTTATTTTTATTTTTGTAACTCTGTTTACTTCCCGTTTCACCGTTTATCCAAGTTTTGAGATCAAATGAGGTTTTTTTGTCTTTTTTACGTTATGCCTGCTGATTTTTTATTATTTTGTGTGTTTGTGTTTTGTCTCTTTCGCTTCATAAATGTCTTGACAAGTCTCATATTGATTGTGCTTGCAGATTAGAATTGATTTTGCTCCTCACGCTGTTTTCCTTTCAGTTCGCTTTTTTTCCGTTATGATGAGAAATTTTCAGCACTCCATTCATCAAAACAATGTATTGAATGTTTTGCCCATCGGGGATATTCTACACTTTGTGACCAAAAAGCCCCACACATGCAATGCATAAGAAAACCAACTGACCAGGGGGGTTCTTCAAAATGTGTTCACGAGGTCCTTTGTGTCGGTTCTTGCAGAGACAAAGACTTCTCCCATACCTTCATCCAGAGCGCCACAGAAGGGCCAGGTTCCAGTGGACAGAGCTGCCAAGGTCATCGCAATATTTTCCCCTTTGCTGTTAGGACTCATGCTGCTGCTCATGTGGTAAGTATCACACAAATTAACACCGCCCAAAAGTGCTTTTATCTTTTACGCAAATTTGAATCCAACCGTTCGCTCTTGCCGTGTATTAATAAATCGATGCGTGACTGTTCGCGTCATGGACACGCTTTGTAGACCAAGAGCAACAACTGAAGGAGTTTGTTCTATGACTCCAGGAGGTTTTGAAGAGACCCTGCAGGATTGAAGTCAATATAACGGACTCCCATTTCAATACATTGACAATACATTGTCATAGAATACATTTAACCAACTTAACCAACAATTTATTTGTATATACTTTGCAAATGTATTGTGCTTAGTTTTTTAGGAGCCAGGTTTTCTTGTATAACGTAAAGTGAACCTTTTTGGTAGCTCCTCAATTTTATTTTTTTGACAGTCGTTCAAAGAATTGTTTTAAATTAGGCTTTTTTTTTTAATCATCTTGAGTCAAATTCCTATTTAAAAATTGTTAAAATGGGGCAAGTGGAGAACAAGCGTGTGTCAGGTCTATAAATAAAGATATGCAGCAGATGATTAGTATCTTTAAAATGTGTATTTACAGGAATAGTCTTGTGATTTTTGATGTGATGTTTTGCTAAATAGTTAACATCTTGTGAGATGGTTTCAAACTTTTGCACAGCACTTTAAATGTATAAAACATAGAATAAAATAAAAAAAAACATTATGTGTATGTGAGAAGACTCCATGATCTTGTATAATCGTATTAAAAATCAGTTCAGTTTATGTCTATAGCGCCAAATCACAACAGAAGTCGTCTCAGGGCGCCGTACAAAACAATTCGCACACCTGTAAACACAAAAGTCATTTAGTAAAAGTTCTTGACGGAGGTAAAGGATTCATAAAAATATGTTCACGAGGTCCTTTGTGTTGGAAAGCCAGCAGACTCGTTGAACCATCGCAGTCTCCCATCCTGAGCAAGCACAAAGGCGACAGTGGAAAGAAAAAACACACGTCAAGGATTGAAATAATTACAAATACAAAACTGGTTGAGCAGAGTAAGTAAAGACGTCAGCAGAGTGAAAAAGTGTGGTCAGTTTGACCTCCATCAGTCCAAGCCTGTAGCAGCGTAACTAAGGGACGGCTCAGGAAACCCAACCCTAACTATAGGATTTATCACAAAGAAAAGTCTTAAAACTGGACAATGTGTCAGTCTCACGGACAGAAACTGGAAGTTGGTTCTACAAGAGAGGAGCCTGAGAACTGAAAGATCTTCCTCGCATTCTGCTTTTGGAAACTCTAGGAACCACAAGTAAACCTTCAGTCTGAGAGTGAAGTGCTCTGTTAGGAAAATATGGAACAATAAGATCTGTATATAATATGAGGAATGCATCATCCTTCACCTGTTTTGTTTTAAATTCACGTCAAGTTTTCACATTTTTTTTTAATCACCTTTGTGATAATAATGTGTTGTTTTATGTTTAACAATCTTTGCTACTGGTCTTTCTCTTTAAATGAACTTAACTGAAATTGGCAACAAGTTATGTCTTGATATGACCAGTTTGCTTTTGTCTTTCTCCAGATGCAACAGTGCGCCGAAGATGGACATCAAGCACGAGGAAGAACAAAATGAAGAGAAATAGGCCGGTGTTTTTTCTATTTTGCACATGTTTCAAGGATACAGTGCATTGATCAGTTCTGTCCATCACACAGTTACTCACCCAAATTACTTAGCGAGGGGGGAGGGGGGGGGATCGGATGACGATGATGCGATCGAGTACTTTTTTTGATTGATGGCAACGAAGAAATTCCTTAGAGGGACTTTTTTTTTTTAATGGCTTTGAGGGCAGCAGCAGAGGCAAACGGGAGCGACCACAACAGCAGCGGCGCCGTCAGAACCAACAGCTCAGAGTTTCATGTGGACGCTTCAAAAGACCGACCCGTGCAGTTCGGTTCAGGAAGCTCCTCAGAGCAAGAAAACCAAGTCTTCAGCTGAATAAAACCATTTTCTAGCTACATTTTTGTTTTGTTTTCCTTCATCATTAATTGACTGTGTCCTTTTAAATTGCACAGTGCTTTACAGACAAACACACATAGATGTGTGTTTGTACGTTTGGCCACAGTAGTGTCCCCCCCCCCCCCCCCCCCCAACTCCCTATACAGCTCATTCATCACGCCAAAGACTCATCTGCACCCATAACAAGGAGCCCAAATCACTCAGCGAGCTTCCTGAAGCCGTGCCTGTCTTCATTATGGGTTCAAAACCCCAGTAGATGTTCAAGTATGAATGTGTGAGCGGGACACCTGATGGACACTGGTGGAAATCAAACTGGGATGAATCTGAGTGTCCCCCGCAGCTCATGTTTGTGTAAACACAGCATTTAAGAAAAAGAAGCTGCGATGAAGCTCCGTCAGACTGTGACTCTGCGCCTCGACAACTGAACGGAGCTGATGGAGCGAGCTGATTTTCAATCTGAGGACTAACACTTTTGAAGACTTCACTATTGGTAGCCTGGCTTTTTTTTTTGTTTGTTTGTTTGTTTTTTTTAAGACAGTTAGCTTTACTTTGTGCTTAACAGCAAATGGCAAGAAGGACCTGGATTGTACAAAAGTGAATAAATAAATAAATAAAAAACGGTAGTTTTCAGAGTGAGCACTTGTTTTTCTACACGGCTGTTTTTTTGGTTTGACTTTGTGTTTGTTTCCTGCGTCACTGACGCAGCTACAGTTTGTCGGTTTCTGCTCTGTGCCGTAAAAAACACACACAACTGTCTGCTTTCCAAAATCTGCTGCGTTTACAAACAATAATACATTTTTTTTTTAAATCATTTCAATATCAACAGTTACTATTATGTTATTCAAATGAATATTGACGTGTTTATTGTCTTTTTTTTATTATTTTATTTTACAGACAAATAATAAAACGGTACTTATAGGGCTTTAGTTTTGTTTTTTTTGTTTTTTTCAGACATTCATAACAACGTAATTCTCCTTGAACCTATTTTGTAAACTATGATATGTAACTTTAACAATGAACAAAAAGTTTATTATTTAATAATGATGATAATAATAATAATGTATGTATTAGCGTTAGAATGTCGTAACCTGTACCTGAGGTCTTTTTTATAGATGTATATACAATGACAGGTTTCAACCATTAAATGTGACCATTTCACAATGACTTGTGATGAGCTGGATTCATTCTTTGTTTTGACGTTAATAATATCACTAAAAGGCTGACAGAGTCGGACTGTTTTTACGTTTTAAAAAGCATTTTAAAGAAGCTGAAGTTCTGAGAAGTAAAGATGGGCAGGGGTTCATTAGTCTGCAATAACTGCATGAATAGTGGAGCAATTTCAGAAGGATGTTCATCAATAGGAAATCAGGAAGACTTTGAATGTCCCATCATCTACAGTCAATATCTACTGTATTTTTTGGCCTATAAGTCGCAGTTTTGTGCATAATTTGCATGCCCTGCGACTTATACACCAAAGCGACGTATTTATGTTTTATTTCTCAAATGTTCAAACCAATGTTTGGCTGAGAAATGACCATTTTCATTGATTCTGACATTGAAAATATTGAACACTACCATTTTCAGCTGCTAGATGGCACTCGCTGTGTCATGTAATAGGTAAAAGTGACTATTAATGACACAATAGGCTTGCCATAGCCTGATAACTTTGTCCAGCTCCATGATCATGCCTGGAGCAACCATCAATCAGCTTCATTTTGCCATTAAAGTGCATTTATTAAGTAAAAGTTCAGCTGAGACACACATTTACTTTAATGTCGAGCAAACAAATAATTGTTTTAGATGCTTATGTTGTTAAATTTCGAATAAATGCACAGTGAGTCCTCCCTCTGCGCCCCCGGAGCACCAAGGCAGCAAATACTTTTGAAATACACCTGATTTGACCTTTAAAGTCCATTTCTTAAGGAAAAAATAAACTGAGACACACCTTTGCTATGATGTCAATCAAACAAATAATTGTTTTTAGATGGTTATCTTGATAAATTTCGAAGACATGCTCAGCGAGTTGTCCCTCTGCGCGCTCCCGCTTCCAAAAGTCTGCTTTTAAAATGCAGCTGATTTGACCATTAAAGTGCATTTATGAAGCAAAAGTTCAACTGAGACACACCGTTGCTATAATTTCAAGCAAACAAATAATTGTTTTTAAGTGTTATCTTGTTAAATTCTTGTTAAAGTCCTCCCGTGCACGCTCCTGCGGCCGCCATTTGGCAGGCAATCGATTTTTGGCACAACACCGGCCCACGTTTCCAGGTTGTCAGTGGTGACGTGTAATAGACGTGACATATACGGTGAAGCAACTTGTTTGTTTTTCCACTTTATTAGACATATTTGAACTGATGGGACTAATAGGGCGGTACGACGCGTACGGTGGAAAATACGGTAAACACTTTTAGTATCTAGAAAAAATCCTTTTCTTTTTTTTAATGTACCTAAATCATTTGTTTAACGCAGACTCTCGTGCTTAGAGGACAATAAAAAGCACTGAAAGGACTTGAAAAGAGGAGAAACAGAATGCTGACTTGTAAAACTCATGAAGCCCGAGCACAATCAATATTTTATTTTTGTCGTAAAACTTGCCAAGATGTTCATTTTCAAGTAAAAATCACAAAACTGTGTCAACAAATCGAGTTGGACTCTTGTTCCAGAAATAGTGAGTGAGTCGACGATCATCTTAAATCTGAACATGTGATTCATCACAGCAAAGATGGAAAACTTCTTTGGAAAATATTAGTTTTATTCTGGGTGATTTTTAGTTATTTCTTGAATGTTTAAAATGGTTTTTTTTTGCTTGTTTTAACTGTGAGATTCTTGGTGCTTCACTCAAATCCCAACATCTACTCAACAAGAGTCACTGATGGCAGGTAGCCACATGGAGCCATATTGTTTAATGATGTCAGCAGTATTCATATTCTGTGTGTTTGATCAACGTTGTGCTTATATTCATTGATTTAAAACTCACAGCCATCACATGTAAGATAAGATACAAAATGAATGGTAGATTATAATTTTTTCCAGGGTTTACCTCAAATCCTGTACAAAGACCACTGGTACCACCTTCACTTTGACCTGGACATGCAAATCAGGTAAAGAGGATGGATGGATGGATGGATGGATGGATGGATGGATGGATGGATGGATATGCCATTGAGCTAAGTGTTTTCTAGTTAGTTTTTTAATTGTATTTGCCCTCAATCATTTTGCTTTTTTGAACATATTTCAACGTTCTTATGATTGCTCTGCTGCTGATACAAGAGATGTGTACGTTATGTACATTAAATAAAAAGATTAATAAAGTTATGGTGAGATCTCAATTTGAGAGACTTCAATCGGAAAAGTTAAAAATATGATTTTAGAAAATCAAGATTGTTAGACATAACTACCATTGCAAAGTATTGTTTGCCTAAAACTGAAGAAAACAAGCGATGGAAACTGAAATAGAACGTGTATTTTTCACGTACAATAAATGTTTAATTGAAATTATGAGTTCAGAAAGACCAAATCAAATCACATAAGTGCAAACCATGTTTAAATAAAGAAGGCGACGTGTAGGGTTTTTTAATTGATGACGCTTCTGTCAGTGTTTAATCCTAAATTAACACATTGATAAGTAGAAATACAAGTACGTTAAAAATAAATTGTTCCTGTTTTGATCTTTCCATCGTTCTGTCTGTCTCTCCGCCTCCCTCATCTTTCGCTTCGGCTCTGCTTCTGTCGTTATGCTGACAAGTTCTGGCGGGCCGATTTGGAGGCAGAGGACAGATCAATACACCATCTAACAGCTGTCAGCTGGGGTCTTCAGTCCGTGTGTGTGTGTGTGTAGATCTGCTTGCATGGTATTGCATTCATTACTCTTTCATCCCTCCTCATGGACACTGGACGTCCCTTCCCCTTTATTTATTTTTTTATTTTTATTTAATGCACACGTCAATGAGAACTCAATTAATATTTACAACGACAATGAATCGGATAAAGAGGGTTTTATTCCCCTGGTCATTGTCAGCGTTGTGAATCTGATTTTCTTCTTTGAAGACGAGAAACAAAAATGTTGAGCTCCCGTTTCAACATTTAAAGTTTAATTAAATGGCGAGTGAAACGTTCAGTCGTCCTCGCAGCGTCTGCAGCCGCAGAGTGATCCGCATTAACCTCAAGTAAATGGGAAAAGAGTGTGTTGGTGTGTGTGTGTACGCTCTCCAGAGCCTGTCAGGTCCAGCCGCCCAGCTCTGCTCTAATGACTACTTTGACCTTTTACTGAAAACAGGATGAGTGGCATGATATCTGCTTCCCTCTCACCTCTGCCCTGCTTTCTGGCTCGCGCCTTTTTAAATACTCAGCTTGCGGCCTTTCTTGCCTCTCTGGCTGACTGGGTTTGGCTGTTCCACTGTTCCAACTTTCTCTTTATGCTAATAGTCAAACGTGCATTTCTAATTCCTTTGTATGATTCGTCTGTGCAAGCTGGATTTCTGCAGTTTACTTGGTTCGCACACGTCTTGCATCATATTGAACACAGCTGCGTCTCTGCTCTTTGCAGCATTGTGTAGTTTACTGTTTCACGAAAAAATATCTGCGGTCAAACCCAGTTTATTTGTGCCAAATGAACCAACACGGAGCAACTCAAAGGGAGATTTTACAACATGTTCTCAGCAGTTACTTCGTTCTAGGATTGCGCCGCTCGGGGTGGCTGCATGTTGGAGCAGCTCTGTTACTTTCATTCTGAGACTTTGCTTTTGGAAACTTTAATTCCTCTTTTTCTGGATGCAAATCACTTTTATTGGATGATTGTTTCCTCTGGTGCAGCTGGAAGGATTTTTACTGAAACTTTTTTTTAAACTTTTGGTCATTTGTTATGGTACGTAACCATGGCAACAAGGGTTGTTATTTTTTTTTATTTTATTTTTTTTTTTTATGGCCGGGAGCAGCTGATTGACATCCCAAAAGCTGAAATAATATCGCAGCTACAGCCCAAAACCTTGAATGATCTGAAAAGGAGGTGCCGTGGATGCATTCCCTTCTCCCTGCCCTCTGTGCTCGAGTGCATGACCACTGAGATCCTGGAACTAGCCGGAAACGTGGCTCGTGACAGCAGAAAGACCGGGATCGTCCCCAGGCACCTGCAGTCGGCTGTCCGTAGCGACAAGGAGCTCAGCAGGCTGCTGGGAAGAGTGGCCATCGTTCTGGGAGGAGTTCTATCCAGTATTCAGCCAGTCCAGGGAAACTGAGAGGCCAGCTGAGTCTGGATGGATGTATTGGACGGCATCTGTGACCATTTTCTTCTGATCCACTGTGGGATGGACCTTTACAAGATATCCTTCCAGCCTACAGCCATCAGTATCTATAACATCTCTTAATGAAACGAGTATAACGAGTTACAACAACATTTAATTTCCCTCTGGGATTAATAAAGTATTTTTGAATTGAATTGAAGCAAATCCAATCTGGTGTTATCATTCAGTCCCAAACCATTATAAAATGTTTTGCAGAACCACAATATAGAACTTGTTTTTTTTCTATAGTAAAATTAACTTTTGGCCCTAGGTGTGAGTAAAAGTGTTGAGGATTGTGCATCTCATTTGTCTCTACGTGTCCCTGTGATGGACTTGCAACCTGCCCAGGGTGTACCTCACATTGCATACAGTGACTGGATGGATGGATGGATGGATGGATGGATGGATGGATGGATGGATGGATGGATGGATGGATGGATGGATGGATGGATGGATGGTCAATGACTTTTAAAATATTCACCCTTTGGCCGCTAGAGGGCAGAAGAAACACCACGGCGAGCATCCTCTGTCTGTGGTGCTGAAACAACAAAAAAGGTTAAATCATGTCATCTGGACCAGTTTCTTTAAAGGAGACGTTTTAAAAATGTTGGATGCTTGTGTCTGTGAGAAAACTAAAAAAAGACTGCTCACTATGACATGAAGAAATAACGCAGGAGTTTCATTCACTTCCCACATGTTTTGTCTTGTCCAGCCTGACGTTTGAATGAGAGCAAATCATTCATGATTAGTGCAATTAGTAATTTTGTTTTCATTTGTTTTAAAATTAAGGACTGTGTAGGAATCATATTAAAATAAAAAGTAATAAAAGGCGGGGTGATGTGTCCAGCCAGCATGAGATACTCAAAATATACAACAAAATGATCATCACTCAGTCTCTCATGCACTGTACTTCTTCTTCATTCATAATACTTTCATAAATCATCAGAAATGCAATATTTTAGTCAAACATATCTGCAGTTTGTTAAATTCAGTCAACCATAAAGAAACAAATTCAAGCTGTGACTGAGCTTTAGGGACCAGTCGTGTTTCTGAAGGGATCATTGTCCCTGAATAAGTACATGTCAGAGCCACGTAATTACTGGCTGCAAACTTCAAAATACTTGTCAGAAGTCTCAGGAAGTTGACTTGAAAGGATAAATGGTTGCAAAAATTAAGCAGTTTTTAGTCTTTTTGAAGGAAGCTCTCGATTTCAGCATCCCCAGGCAACCAGACACCAGGAGTCCTCCCCTTGAGTGACAGCCATGATTTCTTGGATGATAACATTTGCTGGCATCGGGATAAGTGAGGTCATCTTGGACCAGTGCCACCAAATAGTAAACCTTCTTCTCTAAACTTGTAATTTGTGGAATATGAACCCTGATGAGTCACTTGATGCCTGAGTCATCTCTGTTTGGTAATTTTCAAAAACTCAGAGCAGTGCATTGTAAAGGTGAACATTTAACAAAACAAACGGGTCCTTCATGTGACAAATCATGAAATAATTAAAGCAAATCAATTAAAAAAAGTAGAAAACAAGCTTCTGACTAAAAGTGAGATTCCTAAAGTCCTCGTGCTGAGACCTACATTCAGAAGTAAATAAATGCATGTCTCTCTGCAGATACAAACTCAGATCTTTATCCATGACAGTCTTGAAACTGGATTTTATATGATGAGTACAATTTAAATGTTTTGCACACGTATATTCGAACAAACATATCTGTTTAAAAATCCTCCTTTCAGCAGATTTACTTAAAATGAACCACGTGAACATGAATATTCTGCCACTCAGATGAACTCTGCCTGTGAGATTAACCCCAAAAACACAATTAAACTGGTCCACAGATTAGATATTTCTTCACTGATAATAAAAACTAATTTAGCTCTCTTTACTTTTACTTGCCTTTAAAGAGAATGTTACCTTTATATTAATTCAAACTCTTATTTGAATCATTTTAAACGAATGTGTATTTGTTTTCATGATGTGTAGGGTTGACCAGTGTGCTATAATCATATACTGTGGTCTATGGCGCCCCCTTGTGGTGACTAATGGCAACATTATTTGTCACTGACATTTTAAGGGGGGGAAATATTCATTCTGTGCAGACATGTGATGTTTTCCCTCCACAGAACATTTTTCTATTAACGAATGTTAAAACCAAACTAGAATAAAAAAGAAAAATATTTATATTTATACAGTAATAGAGTACCTTCTTGTTTGCTCTGATGATGGACCTACTAACAGATGAGGTCAGGTAGGAATCCCCGTGGACTACAATGTTTGCAGATGACCTTGTGATCTGTGGTGAGAACAGGGAACAGGTGGAAGAGAACTTGGAGAGGTGGATGTATGCACTTGAAAGAAGAGGAACGAAAGCCAGCCGTATGACAGAGTACGTTTGTGAACGAGAGGGAGACTGGTGGAACAGTGAGGCTACAAGGAGCAGAGGTCACAAAGGTGCAGGACTCCAAGTACTTGGGATCCACTGTCCAGGAAAATGTGGAATGTGATAAAGAGTCCAAACAGGATGGAGTGGATGGATAAACGTTTCAGAAGAGATGTTAAAAAAAGAGGAAGGAGTAAGGCCAAAGAGGACATATATGGATGCAGTTAGAGAAGACATGCAATTAGATAGTTGGGGTGAGGACAGAAAAAATTAGAGGACAGAGTGAGACGGAGAAGAATTACTGGTTTAGGCAAGAAAAAAAAAGTGGAATATCAATGCAAAGTACTTCAAAACAATCTTGGACTTATTTTATCTGTATATTTTAATTGTGAAGTCATGCAGCTAGTATTAAAAAAAAGTTTTTAATGCACTATAGCTGATGAAATTGAGAAGAAGTAATAAATGCGTGACAATTCTTTAATACATTGCTAAAACATCGTCTGCAAGCATTACTGTGACTTATGTGTGTGTGGGGGGAAAAAAGCATATTCAAGAGAAACCCCCATGAGGTGACTCATCGACAAAGCATTTACACTATACATGCAATTAACCTAAGTATTATAAACATATACTACTGTGGTTTTTACGTGACTTTCAAGACAATAGAGCTCATGATGAACATATAATAATATAATTTTCAAATATGAATGTACTGTACTCAAAACTAACATGTTATTACCACTCATCACCGCTTGGCGGCAGCAAAGCGCCGCCTTGATGAAAAGCCAGATCACCGTAGAAGAAGAATAAAGCTAACAGTTGGCTAGCCAATGCACAGCGATGGGGTAAGTAACATGATTTTATTAATATACTCCCTTTAAATCACCCTAAAGCATGTACTGAAATTAAAAAAAATATCAAATATCGTGCTTTGATGTGAAATAAAACCTGCCATATGGTGTAAATTTGCACATTTTCCTCAGAGTAACTAATATCCTCTTTTACCGCCTACACAAAGCAGCACCTAGCTTGTTCCTGCTAGCTGTTATCCATCATGTAAATATATTATAGCCGTCTGCATTTAGTCTTTTTTCAAAACACGTCTTTAAGTTCACAACTGAATTTAACAGCCACGAATAGAGAAAAGACGGAAGCTTTAGCTGAATTGTTGGAGGTAGAGCTGCGGAAAGATGCTAAAAATAACCGCTTATTAAATTTTCAGGCTCTGGATCAAAACCGCTTGAAGTTGTTATTTAAGAGGGACTGGTGTTACATGAACCACTGAGACTGTCCCACGTTTATTTCAGTTAAACGAGACAACGTGACTTCATTTTTTATGGTTCAGTACAAGGTTTGGTTTGTTTTTATTTCTTCTCATTCGTTGCTTCTCTTGTATAAACTTGGTTGTTTGGTATAAACACAAAACGCAAGTGTATCCTTGTCTTTAACTAAAATGATCAAGTATTTAGTCTCGGATGGAGAGCATCCAGCAAATGGAGGAGTAACAATTAAACCTGTTGGGGATGCTGTGTTCTGGATCAGATTCTGCTCATTCTCAGGGTGCATTTGATAAAAGTTATGGTATTCAAAGAGCTACAGCTTCTCGTGCATGAGTATAATAAATAACCAAAGTCCTCTAATATTTCTACAAAATCAGTGTAGTATAGTTCTCTTTTTAAAATTGTACAAAAAAGCCGATCTAACAATCGTTTCTTCTCACCACCCTGACCGAATTCTCATGTTTGGTCAACCTTCCAGATTGTTTAAATGATTCTGGACACTTTTGCGTTACAGATAGTTTTTAATAGACTTTAACCAACATGTTTAACTTTTTTTGCATGGCTGTATCTTAACGCTTCGGAACGAGCCACGGACTCATTCGGGATATTTTAGGAGTAAACTGAGGTTTCATTTCTCATCTTCTCTCCTCCCAGTCTGTGTGAATTTTGCTGATTTTCCTTGGTGGTTGGCTCGTCAGGCCATCTTTCAACATGCAAGGATTTTACTCCAAGCTCGACTCCTCTTCGTCCTCCTCCCCCTTGCTGGGGGTGGGCCTTGGGGGAGAAGGCGCACGCGTACCCCTCAGCCTGGCTGTGGAAGCGGAGAAAGCTCAGGCCCTCCTGCAGACGTTCAGCTCGGCCTCATTGTTGGCGTCGGCAGGACTCGGGATGTTCTGCGTGGTGGCGGACCACACCCTCCAGTTGTCCGCCATCCAGCAGCACCTGTGGCTGCGCACGGCCTTGGACAATGCCACGCATGGATTGATAGGGCTGTGGTCGTGGGCGGTTGTGATTGGACTAAGGAAAAGAAGTGATTTATACGAGGTGCTGCTGGCAGGGCTTCTGGCATCAATCATAGACCTGGACCACTTCTACATGGCTGGATCTCTTTCCCTCAAGGTCAGACCTGCAGTTGTCTCTGAATTTAATTATGCTTAGAAATAATTAGGTAGCTTTTTGCCTTTTCCAAAGCTTTGAAAGTTCTGATTGTTGACTTCCTTTCTGTCCGTCCATTCAGGCTGCTGTCTCACTGCCTCATCGTCCTCCTCTCCACTGTTCTTCTCTCATCCCCGTCATCTGCCTCACTCTTCGCTTCCTCATGTGGATCGGCCGCCTCAAAGATTCTTGGTGCTCCCTGCCGTGGATGCTTTTCATTTCCATGACCACGCATCACGTCCGGGACGCCGTGCGCCACGGTCTGTGGGTTTGCCCATTCGGTAACACCGCGCCCGTCCCCTACTGGCTGTACGTGAGCATCACAGCGACGCTACCACACCTTTGCTCGGTTCTTATGTACCTGACGGGAACCAGGGATGTGATCTCCACGAAACACGGAGTAGCGATCGACGTTTAGGCGTCGGCGACGTTCGATGAGAGGTTTAAAACCTTTAAATACTTGAAACGAGAAGAGAAAAATGTGTAGAACACAATTTGTATGAAGAAAAAAAAAACACGAACTTGAGGAAAACGTTAACTGTATGATGCTTTTTAACAATGAGAATATCTGTCAAGTAAAAGAACAAATGAGGTAATTGATCCCTAACTGAAGAGTACTTTATAGCTGTGATTTTGTTTTTCTTCCCACCACACTACTTTTAAACAATTCTGTAGAGAAGATTTAGATTTTCCTTTTCCTATCTAGCCTCATCCTACAAACACTCAAGGAAAAGTCAACCAAAGGTCGACCACAGGCTGTAAAACGACACCCACTGGGTGTCACCTTGTCCTTCACTGCATCCAGCAGCTGCAGCACTGTCATCCTTTTGGTTGAAACGGCTTAATGGTAATAAAATCCAACGCACATGTATAGCTTTTTGTATCCGAGTCACAATCTGCAGAACAAATCCACTGTAATTACCACAAAAATATGTGTAATTTGTGTCTGCAGATTTTTATTGCATCAGCCTTTACGCCTGACGAAAGCCTTTGTTTTGTTTTAAGCTAATCAGAGTTCTCATTGCCAACTGTGTCAGCCACAGGAAGGGAGCAGAGGGTTGAAGCTTTCTAGCATGGCAGCTTTTCTCGTTTGCTCGTGAAGTTTGGTGTTGTTGGAAATGCCACATCCTTTTCTGTGGAGCTGGTAAAGATGCTGCAGCGGTTCAGTTTGAGGCTCCCTGGATTCAACACGATTCAGTTGTCAGTTTGTGAAATGTAGTTTTACACCGAACACAATAAGGGTAAAGAAATGAGGAAGATGAATCTCAACATGCTGATGTTTTTTTTTCTTTTAAACCAATTTTTGTGGCTGTTTTGATGGTCATATCTTCACATCATCACATTTTGCTATAGTTTGAATACCTTGTATATAGGTGCAGTGAATCTTTTTTTTTTTCAATTGTTCCTCTGCATTTAAAATTCTCAACCTGTACGGTTGAATTTTCAGCGGTTAAAAATCCGAATTTGCAGGAAAACGTGAACTTTCATTCCATTGAATCACTTAAACTAGGTAGTCATCCACTAAGACGGAGTATTTAGAGGAAGAGTCGTTTGTGTTGCAAATGTAATTTGAACACGTGAATTTCTAAACATTATTATTATTTACGCAGTTTTTAACATGCACATATTACGTTGTGATGTAGTGCTGGGCTTGAGAAATGTGCTGTTTGAATGTAAGGAAGGTGTTTTATATAAAAGCTGATGTGTTTAGTTGGAGAGCTTCAGGTCGCAGTATTCTGACTTATCCACAATGAAAAAGCTTCAGTTTAGTTTTTCCTTCCCTCTAATTTTATTTATTTATTTATTTGATAAGGATTAGCATTTGCTTGTAGTAACCGTGATGTCCACTAGATGGCAGCTGGAGCTTTGTGTATTTTTTTCTCCTGGAAAAGTTAAAAATCAGTTTGTATTTCCTTGATGTATATTAATTTACTTCAAACACATTGTATGACTGTATTTTCCTTTTTTATATCAAGACTAAAGGTACAATTATAACAGTTTGTGTAACAGTCTGTCACTGAGGGTTTTACCACTGATCCGACTTCATGCCTGATTGTGTTAAAATAAGTTTGTGCTCGTTGAAATGACTGCCATTTTAAACGCATCACTTTGCGTTAAACTCGTTTGTTGCTGCTTCTATTTACTTTGTGGCTTTTTTTAAGTGTTAAATTTTGCACTTTAGGTTTCTAATGATTTGTGTTTTGTTCAAAATGTGAATTGTGTTCAATAGTGAGCAATTAATTATACATAGTACCAAGATAGATCTTAGTGTTTCATCTCCGTAAAATATATCATGTATTAAAACTCTTTGTACTTAAAAACATGTATTTTCTTCTTTTTTAGAGCTGCTTTTGTGAGGGACTTTGAGGCACTAATTTGTTTTAACTGATCAAACCGAGTGAATGAAGTGTGGGACACAACAAAGCCAAACTTAAAGCATATTACATAATTAATGTGTTTGTGAAGGATACATTAATTAAAACACATTTTTGAAAGAAAACCACCATTTAATCCTCAAACTACAACAGTGATGTTAAAATATATGCATTGTTTGGCCATTCAAAATGGGCACTAAATACCTAATTGTTAAACAGACCCTGTCTGTGTATTGTCTCTCTGACTATCATAACATAATCTCACTTATACTTAAAAGTGGAGTATGACCTTAAGTACTTGCAGTGGGTCTTCTTGTTAAAGCCATTGTGCTGAGCTGTTGGTGCTAATTGGGAATTTCCTGAATTCAGCAGGAAGGAAGAGGTTGGACTGACAGAGCTGCCACTTCACGGTGTAAAATAACTGCAGCTGGTTTTGACATTTTTAAAAAGCTATGCCATACACTGACTGGTTAGTTTTAAAAAATGCAGAGGGATAGTAATAAATGCATATCAAAACAAGTCCTGAAGAAGCCAGGGCCTGCAGGTTTAAACTGTAGGATGTGTGTGTGTGTATATACTGCCAAACGTATTTGCTTACCTGCCTTGACTCAAATATGAGCTTAAGTGACATCCCATTCCTAATCCATAGGGTTCGATATGACGTTGGTCCACCTTTTGCAGCTAGAACAGCTTCAAGTCTTCTGTGAAGGCTGTCAAAGGTTTAGGAGTGTGTTTATGGGGATTTTTGACCATTCTTCCAGAAGCGCATTTGTGAGGTCACATACTGATGTTGTTCGAGAAGGCCTGGCTCTCAGTCTCCGCTCTAATTCATCCCAAAGGTGTTCTATTGGTCAGGACTCTGTGCAGGCCAGTCAAATTCATCCACACCAGACTCTGCCATCCATGTCTTTATGGACCTTGCTTTGTGCACTGGTGCACAGTCATGTTGGAAGAGGAAGGGGCCAGCTCCAAACTGTTCCTGCAAAGTTGGGAGCATGGAGTTGTCCAAAATATCATGGTGTGCTGAAGCAGAGTTCCTTTCACTGGAACTAAGGGCCAAGCCCAGCTCCTGAAAAACAACCCCACACCCACCAAACTTTACACTTGGCACAATGCAGTCAGACAACCGTTCTCCTGGCAACCGTCAAACCCAGGTTCGTCCATCAGATTGCCAATGGAGAAGTGTGGTTCGTCTCTCCAGAGAACGCGCCTCCACTGCTCTAGAGTCCAGTGGCGGCGTGCTTTACACCACTGCATCCAACGCTTTGCATTGCACTTGGTGATGTATGGCTTGGATGCTCAACCATGGAAACCCATCCCATGAAGCTCTCTGCGCACTGTTCCTGAGCTAATCTGAAGGCCACATGACGTTTGGAGCTCTGTAGTGATTGACTCTGCAGAAAGTTGGCGACCTCTTCACACTATGCGCTTCAGCATCCGCTGACCCCGCTCCGTCAGTTTACGTGGCCTACCACATCGTGGCTGAGTTGCTGTCATTCCCAAACACTTCCATTTTCTTATAACACAGCTGACTGTGGAATATTTAGGAGCGAGGACATTTCACGACTGGATTTGTTGCATAGGTGGCATCCTATCAGTTCCATGCTGGAATTCACTGAGCTCCCGAGAGCGACGCATTCTTTCACAAATGTTTGTAAAAACAGTCTGCATGCCTAGGTGCTTCATTTTATACACCTGTGACCATGGAAGTGACTGGAACACCTGATTCCAATCATTTGGTTGGGTGAGCAAATATTTTTGGCAATTTAGTGTTACTTTATGTGTGTGTGTGTGTATATATATATATATATATATATATATACACACACACACACAGTAGTCCCTGTTCATCACGGGTGTTTGGGACCACACCCATGCCCCTTACCTGCAGGAGCTCCACCCCCTTTTCCTCCAACAACAGTGTTTTTTTGCTTAACAAACTCTTTGTGGTTAGGGATTTTGTGAAAAATTATCATGAAAAAAAAAGGTTAACATGTAATTCCGACAGCAAAACCCTGAACATTTAGATTGTGGAATACAATTTATTCCATTTGCAAATTTAAACGGGAGTCTTAATAAATGTAAAAGATACAACAGCGATAAACAGGAAGTACCACATGCTCGTCTGTATGACGGTGACAGCACGTAGGCTAAATCCTCCATTTTCTTAGCCATGGATGCAGGTGATTCTGTGCTGCTTGACCTAATGGACCTTACATCTGCTTTTGACACCAGTGACCACGAGAGCCTCATTTCTAGGCTGGAGCAGTGGGTGGGCACCACAGGGTCAGCCCTCAAATGGTTTAGATCCTATTAGGGCTGAAACAATCCCTCGAATAATTTGAGCACCTCAATTACAAAAAAATCCTCGAAGCTTCGTTAAACTATTCAGCGCACTGTGGTCTAGCTACGCGTTGTGTTACACAACGCTAGCGCTTCCGCTAACGCCTGGCGTGTATGTGCTAAGTTTGTAGCTATGAAGGGAAACGGAGAATGCTTAGAAGAGCACCGAAAACAAGAAAAACTGTCCAAATTTTTGGAACATTTTAGGCTAAACAGAAAAGACAACACAGCGTAATGCATCCAGTGCAAAGCAGAATTGAAGTAACCACAACAGCACGTCATCAATGTTGCAGCGTCTGAAGAGAAAACACACGCTGTATGCATCAAACGGCTGCAACAGGTACATTTTATGTTCTCTTTGCAAAATACGTTAACCTAAATGTGCAATAATCTGTCATGTTAAAGATATAAAATTAGGCATATTTTTGCTAATGTTAAATCTACTAACTAATCATAGTGGCTATGTGGCAGGGTGTTGTCTGTAAGTTGTGTGAGGGGGAAAAAACTATGCAGGACTGAATGCAAGTGTGTTAAAGATAAAAGCAGCAACAGACTGACTCATGTATTTATTGCTGTAATTCCATCCTGACTTAAATTAGATCTTTAGGGTGAATATTTCAAATGTAAATGTATTTGCACGAGTTAGTACGATTTTGTTTTTCTTCTTGCTACTGCTGTTTATGACTTGAAAACTGGGATTAATCTGCATTTATTACTACTGTCGATATTTGTTTATAGCTAAACAATCAAGACTAAATAACAATACCGTCTGCAGAACTCAATGTACAAACTCGAAACTCTTACTCAGTTTCTAACAAAAAGATTCCATTCCGTTTTCCAATCCATGCAATTATTTTACAGCATTTAGATTTTTCTGTGATGGTTAAAAATAATTCAGTGACAGGGGGATTTAATTTAATTATTTAAATTAAAGCATCCTCAAACCTCACACATGAATAAAAGCTTAAAATGCATAAATCAAATACAACCGACATACTAATGCTACTTTGATTGCAGCAGGGTCGTCAGAAAGTTTACATTACCCCTTAGCAATATTAAATAATTGTATAATATGCAATGAAGTACATTTGAAACATGTTTATTAAGGCATAACAATGAACACACAAATAATTTTATTATAC